ATAATAAAAATAATAATAATAATAATCATAATAATAATAATAATAGTATTAATCATAATAATAATAATAATAATAATAATAATAATGATAATAATAAAAATAAATATATATTTTTTTATTTATAGTCCAAACAGTTATTTCCGCCGGTTACCCGCGCTTGGTATTAAATCAAGATATAAGCCAGTGCCCGGCGTTGCCCGTGAAATTTCCAAAAATTTCCAGAATGGGTTCCCTTAAAAAATCCAGCCAATTAGGCCCATCCGGTTAGCCAGCTATAGAGAACATATATATATAATATTTATGATCAAATAGCTGTACTTTATATATAATAATTACAGTAGCAGTTCCTCAATACTTTAATTTTAATTAATATATTTCAATATTAATTTTGCCTTTAAGGTAATCACGATAGGGTTCCTTTACAGTACATTAATTGAAAAGATATAGTACATTGACAAATATGTAGAGTACGGTTTTGTCACCTGTTAGCTTGAGTTTTAATGCCTGGATATGCCTGGAATAGGATAGATGTTGAACTAGGAAGTTCTTCAAGTAGAACTCCAGATACAAGAACAACCATCTGAAAGATGTTAGGTAATTTCCCAAAGGCTTTTTCCCAAGCGGTAACTTTCCAAGGGTATTTTCCCAAGTGACAACTTTCCTACTGTAAATTTCCTAAGCGTTAACTTCCCAAGTCTGTCCTAGCCGCAGCACTCGGCCCCTAGCCTGTTCCACCGCCAGTGCTTGGCTCCCTAGACCATCCTAGCCGCAGCGCTCGGCCTTTCAAACCAGCCTGCGGCGCCTCCGAGGACCTAACCTAATCTTTGTGAAGTTAGGGCTTTGGAAATTGCCCATTTGGGAGGTTGCCACTTGAGAAGTTGTCCCTTGGGAAGTCGACCATGGGGAAATGCCTTTGGAAAAATACCTAACACCATCTGAAATTATATTTATTTTTCCTGCATCTTTAAACAAAGCAAAGCGGCAAAATATGTATATTTGTATTCATATCACTATATAAACTCCAGTTTATTTCAAGTAAAGAACCGCTTTTAAGGGGATAGAGCAAGCAGTACCCTGTACACTGTACAGTACACTTACATACTATATGAGGCAAACCGGACGGGACTTTAACAAATATAAACTAACCTGTACAACACCAAGTACTTCAACTAGTTTTTAAGAATATAAAGAATAAAAGTTGCAGAATTAAGGTTGAAGAAGAACGGATAAAAAATGCAAAATGGAGAATGAAGAATGAAGAATGAGGAATGAAGAATGAAGAATGAGGAATGAGGAATGAAGAATGAAGAATGAAGAATGAAGAATGAAGAATGAAGAATGAAGAATGAAG